CATGTGATTGAAATATGGTCAAGAAGGTTATTACAATAAACCCATATACACAATATTGCTTGCATCTTGGAAGGGTAAAATGACAGTGAAGAAAATGAAGAAACATTCTAAGAAACATCTTCAATTGTATAAGATAAAATCACGATATAGTGACAATCTAATTTCTGAAAATAAAGACAAGAATTAGAGATTTTTTCGATTAAAATAAAATTTTTCCCAATACTCGATTGCTGCCGTGAGCACACCGGTAAAGAGGTTTACTATAAAGATTAGCACCATTGTAATAAAATTCATATAACATCATTTTGCTGCTCATGTGTCACAGGCACGCTCATATGAAAAAATCGATATATTATTGTCTATTACAATAGAATTTTTGAAGTTTTCTGGAGTGTCATAAAAGAATTTTTTTAAAAGCAAAAACAAAGACGTGATTTTTTTCTCTATGAAAATCGTATCAGAAGCTCTTAAAATACGTATTATTCCAGAGTAATTCAGCTAGCCTTCTTTTTTTGATTAGTGGTTTGAATATAAATCTAATGATTGAAAATAACTTACGAAAAAGCTTGTTAGCGCAGCCTCTATGGGGCTAAAATATACAACTTACAACGATTGCTGCAATCACGCAATCATTAAGATTTGCTTGGAGGGGAAGCTCGCGAAAAATCTCACTAAATAGGGTGGGTATCGTCCTTATTGATCTGCTGAAGTTTTATCTTTCTGACAACATACTCGTAGATAGGGGAAAATCTCGTATTTTGCTTAACAATTCATATAGAAGGCACTGATAAAAGTCTTTTTTTATCTATCTATATAATTTCCAAGTTGAACTAAACTATCTTTAATATGAAAACATATTAAGATACTTATGTTTTTATAATTTTGATCAATCAAAACTACGATTTTTATTAAACATGCACGATCTCACAGGTAAAATTGAGAACGAAAAAAATGTCATCTCACTCTTGAACAGATTAATTTAAATCTCATGTAGGTAAGTGTATAAACTAATTTAAGAAGATAAAAATTAGGAATAGATAGTATAAAAACTCTCAGTTTCTATACTTTTTACCTGATACTACATATATATATACACAATGCTTGGCAAATGTGTAGCGCTTCTTTTCTCGTTCTTCAAACGCTTTGTGCTTTGTTTACATCTACATCGTACTCTTATGAATTGACCTTGGAGAAAAGAAAAAGTACATTTAAACAACAATGAACTTTTAAAAAGGACATTGTATAATATGTAATAAAAAAAAAATTAAAAGGAATAAAACAAATAATTTGTTGAAACATACTACATGATCCAAGATCTGAAATTTCAAGTATATATTTAACATTACTTCTTCCATTTAGACAACGAAAATATTATATTATGAAGGCATATCTAGATCACAAATTTCCTCTCTTATTAGGAACTAATTTAAAATTAAAACTACATGCAAAGCAGTTCATGTATTATTTTGATTATTTTTTTTGTAAATATACAAATTAAGGTTTTTGTTCTATTTGTTATACTATTTTTAACTTAGTTATTAGACTAATAAAAAACCGAAATAGAATATATTAAAAATTTACTTTTCTTTTCTTTCAAATTCAACATCTGCCGAGTGTCATACACAAAGAAAGAGAAAAAAAATCACATAACAGTTTCTTGCATTTTCTTCATTTTTGAAGTGGCTGATTTTTTATTTAAATACGGGTAATTTATAAAAAACCCTATCATAGACTTCGAGATATTTTTTTTAACGAGTAATATTTCGTTTATTATTGTTGCGTTGTATTAAGAATTCATGATCGAAGTTAATACCATATCAGTGAATATATATATATTTCAAAATAAGGATCTTTTTATCGTTTCAATTGTTTAGAATACGTGAAAAATTATCACGATTTTAATAATACAAAAACAAAATTAAATTCAAGACAGGAGTTTTATTAAATGTTATTTTTTTATCGTGCCGTGTATTTACTGCACGAGAATGATGGTTAGCAACAATAGTATATCAACACGGGTCACTTCTCGGCGACGGCAGTGTAAAAAAGAACTGTAACACATTCCACATAATGTGAAGCACCTCCAGCTCACGACACATTCCAAAACAAAGAAAATGATGAAAAACAATCAGTTTTTTTTCTCTTTTGTTTTCTGAAGAGAAAAAAAGATGGTTAGAAAAATATTTACTGTTGAACTATTGAAGATAAAAGAATTTATTACGACCAGATAAAGAAAATTTTTATGTTTCTGATTTTTTTCATAATAATCAGCACAATTAATTTCTTTATTTGATACTACAAAAGACATATTAAGAAACTTATTTAGTTTTTAAAAGTATTCAGACGTTAGACATTGAAAATGCACCTGTTGTGCTTTTATAGCAAATGAGATTATATGAAGAATCTTTTCGTCGATGAAAATATTGACGCTATTGTTTTTTATTGTTGAATATCATCAAAAAAAGTACTCTTTGCAGCTAAAAAGTAAAAAGACGTAGTTATTTTATTGATCTTATCAAAGTTGTAGGCGGATTCAAAATTCTTTTATGATTTAATAGACCAATACTGATTAAAAAAAATAAAAAGGAGAATTCTATCTTTATGACATTAACTTTTCATTCATTTGAAGACATGATATCCATCAGGTTGTTAATTTTTTTTATTCTTTTAAAAAATAGTCACCAAGTATATGAATGTGATTATGATTATGGACTAAAATGTTTTCCGGGTTTACTATCAGGTTCATTTGTTTTATTAAATGGAACTAGTGAAGAACCACGACAACCAGCTTCAGATGTTACTGCTATTGGTAAAATATATATTTTATCATTTATTATATTTTAAGAAATTTCGATTTCTAGGAACATCACATGAAGATGGAGAAGAATGTTTTTTTCCATTTCAAATAAATTCATTTGATATGTTTTTTTGTGAAAGAACTGATCCTAATCTTCCTGCAACATGTCCAACTTTTAATTCAACAGGTCCAAGAATGAATTGTAGTGAAGGTGAATATGGATATGAAAGATTCGAAGGAGGAGAAATTGGATCTCGTTTACATAAACTTGCTTTAACTCGTGATCTTGAAGAAGGTGAACATTGTATTCGATTTTATTATTATTTATCGGACACAAATTCAAATGGAAATATTCAAGTTATAATTGAAGATACTTTAGCGAATACAAATCAAACAATTCTTACAGTATCTCAACGTCTTCAAAATAGATGGCATGAAATAAGACAAGGTTTTAATGTCAATAATGATAAACCTAATGTAATTATTATTTTCGTCAACATAAAAAAAAGCGCATTTTCTTTAGATATACTTCGAATTCAATCGTAACTCGTCATCTGATTCATTACCATATTTTATTGCCATTGATGAAATAACTATTCTTGATATCGAATGTGGTAAAACAAAATAATTTTTTCTTTCTTTTTATTATTTTATTAAACTATTCTTTAGAACCTGACAATACTACCACAACGATTACTACAACTATAACTCCCGTAAATTTCTAATCAAAATTTAATGTAAAATTAATTTATTTTCTTTAAACTTAGACATCAACATTAAGTACAATAAGTTCATCTACTACAGCGAGTAGTTTATCACCCACTACAACAGTAACACTTTCTACAACAACTACTTCATTAACCAGTACAACCGTTTCAAATGTAACAAGTAGTTTACCATCAAACACAACAATTACTACCGGAACATCTACCACAACAAGTAGTTTATTAACCAGTACTACAACAACAACAAGACCTTCCATAACGAATACTTCCACCAGTACATCTACAACAAGTCCTTCTACTAGTGCATCAACAACGAATCAAATGACTACATCTACAGCAAGTCTTACTACTCCTTCAACATCAACATTAACTGTATGTTTAATTCTTTTTTTTTAAATAATATTTTATTGTTTGATTTTAGCAATCAACAACAACAACGGCAACAACAGAAGGATCATCATCAATTAAAAGTAAAGAAGAAAAAAAAATAATTTCTTTTTTTTTAAATAATTCTTTTTCTTTTAGTTCGATCGAATATTTTCTTAATTATTTTGTTTTTATTTTATCTTTTTTAAAATGATTTATTTAAATTTAATAAGAATATCAATAAACTAGAAATAATTCAAATTTATTTTGATGATTAAATTAAAAAATTCTTAATCAAATATAATGTACTTTTATTTTTTCAAAGGATCAAATATTTTTTATATATTAATAATTAGCACATGTTGTCTCATGATGAAATTTATTTTTAAATGTACTTTTTATTTTTGCATCCACTTACTTAATGAATGAGTCTACTATTTCAATGTACTTTTTGCAAAATAATTTATAATTTAATCAAAAAATTTTTTAATTTCCACAAGAATCTATCCAATAGTCCATATTTTACTTTTTATTATAATCGACGAATTATTTGTAAGAAGCACAATCGATGTATTTTTATTATCTGAGAATACAACTTTTAAATATAATCAGATATAATTTCATTTAAAATATGAGAATCTCAGGAAAATTAATATTCTGTATCTCTATCTTAGACTTTTATCTGAAACTATTCTATTCATTTTCAGTATTGAATATACAATGATCTACTCGCATATATTTGTTCATGCGAATGACAAATTTCATTTTTGTGATTATAGAATGCAGACGATTATGAACATAGTACAGTATCAGTTGTTTTCGAGTCTCTTTGTATATTCTTTAATGAAGTTATGGATTGAATAATAAACAATAGTAGAACATGTTATTATCGTTTTTCTTAAACAAGAAAAGACTATTATTAGATATGGAAATCATCGAAGCTTAACCGATATATTTACATTTTGTTTATATATCATTGATCATCGATATAGTTGATGACAATACGCTATACATACGAAAGACCATGTGCGTTTCTATTTTTTCTCTCATGATTAATATGACAATAGAAATAGATGAGTCCTTGTATGTGTGAATAATATATTAAAAGTAAAATGGCTCAACTTCAAGTAACAATTGTGGAAGCAATTAATTTAAAGAAAAAAGATTTATTTAGTGAAAGTGATCCATTTGTTCAAATTTATCTTGATAATAAAAATAACAAATATACAACAAAAGTAAAACATAATACAAAAAATCCTCATTGGAATGAAACATTTGTTCTGTAAGATTTTATTCAATATTTCTTTCTTTGTTATTATTTTGTTTTATTTAGTAATGTTTTAAACGGACAAGATATTTTATTCGTTGATGTTTGTGATAAAGATACAATAAGACATGATAAAATTGGTTCATTAGAAATTGATTTACGAGATCTATTCGTAAAATGTATTTTTTTTTATATTCAAAAAAAACAAATATTTATTTATTTTTCTTAGATAATAGTGATAAATGGTATGATTTACCGGCTACATATGGTAAATCATCACATGGAAAAATTCATCTTGTACTTGAATATCAACCATTAATTATTTAACATTATTTGTTTACATGTAGAAAAAAAAAGAATAATTATTTTTAATAAAAAATATAAAACTCATTTGGAATTGATTTTGTGTGCGGAATAGAATGTATTTCATTCAAACGGACGGAGTATAAAGATCAGCAAACAAATAAAAATGTATAAAATCTAATTATTCATTTTGTAAGTATTTATTGAAAGAAAAATAATCAATTTCGTATAAATATTTTTTTAACTTCACTACGAAATGATTTTGATATGATAAAATTTAGATAAAAACTAATACAACATGGAATATTAAGAAGAAATAAACAAACATTTCTTAGATTATTCTCAATTTGTGTACGATCAAAAGTTTTAACAGTATTTGTTGTAATTTGCATATAGATGAGATATAAGGCAAAAATAAAACTAAATAAAGCATACATTGTAATATCACCAATTAAGATTAAAACTAATTGTCGATCTTTCGAAGAAGTGGAATGGGTATTTCTGTCCACAATAGTTGCTCTAGTTGATTCTTCAGGAGCAACT